ATCACCAGATATGCAGTTTCTAGGATTTTATATGGGTTAGATGACTTTCCTTTTGTAAGATACTTTAGACCTTAATTTCTGAAGTGTGAAAACAGACAAGAAAGTGAGTTATCTGAAAAGAGCCCTACTTCTGACTGCCAGGAGAACTGTGCAGTAACAGGACATGACTTTGGTGGGCCCTTTCTGAGATGCTGCCCCATTAATATGCAGCTGGGGTAGCCTTCTGCCCCATGCCCTTGTCCAAAGGTGTTAGGTATTGGTGCATGAAATTTAAGGAGAGTTACATCTTGTAATGGTGTTTTCTTTAAAGTTTTACGTTTTGGGGGTCAGAGCCTTTACTTTTAAAGGCTCTGACAATTCTGTAGCAAATGCATTATATTTATGACTAATTAAAACAATTCCTGATTTTTCAAGTTAATTCCCTCCCCTGGTCTCCCAGCTCCCTGTGCTTTTATAAGAATCACTGTCACCCTTACTCCAGGAATTTTATGCCATGGCCAGCTCTGGCAGTTAGGCATTTCATTTTTTTCACTGACCACATTATGAGTGTTAAGGATGGAGGAACAGTGACTAAACATAGTTTTAAGCTGTGACCCGGCTGACCTGAGAGAAAGTGGCTGTCAGCATGGTTCCAGCTCTGAATGGGGCTTTAGGAAATGGTGTGGCTTTAAGATCAATGTTTTCTTTTAGCAACAAGCATCTCCAGAGATTTACCCTTCTCCAACTCATCATCTCAGCACTGTCTTGCTTTTTTCCCTTTGTCATTGTGACCAGGGAGAGAGGTGGACGAGGTGCTGTACGGAGCTCTGAAAGCTATTGCCAACGTTAACACGATGGACTGGAAAAAGCTATAGTTAAATGGAGATGTTGTGGAAGGCCTTTATCTAAAGCCAGGAGGAATAGGAGAGGGGAGAAATATGTTGATGCAGGGGCTGATTCATGTTAGGAAGAATTCAGTGGTTTTCTTTAGGAGAGTGGGTGGAACAGTATCACCCTGGGAGAAGGTAGTATCAGTAGTCAACAGGGTTGAAGGCAATGAGAGAGAATTTTTAAATGAGAGCTAATGGCTGGAAATTAAACTCAGCAAAGTTAAAAGACAAAGTTTATTACAAGTTTTTAAACCCTGCAGGTAAAACTGCACTGTTGCCACTGGAACAACTTACCAAGAGACAGGATACATTCTCAGTCATTTGTTTTCACATCAAGAATGAAGCTCTTTTTAAGGGACATGATCCACTTAAAACATAGTGTTGGGCTAAAAGTGGGAAACTGGTTGGAATTCTCTGGCCTCTGGGAATACAGAAGTCTTGACCAAGCCAGTGGCTGTGTCTACACGAGACGCTGATGGCACAGTTGTTACTGCACAGTCATTTAGTACTTTTATGAACAAGTACTAGATGACTGCACAGTAACCTAAGTTACTGCACAGTAGTGTTGACAAACAGCTTTTTTGTGATGCCACAGCTGCTCAGTAGTGTCGCATCACGGTTATCGTGCAACACTACTGCACAGTCAGTGTCTTGTCTGTTGCAGCCAGTCTTCCCTGCATTTTCAAAAACAGTCCTCCTTTAGGAAAATGAAACTGGTCTCTCCCATCTCCTGTCCTACTGCATCAGGTTTCTGCTGAGTTATTGACCTGTCTCAAACCTTCCAACTTTGGAGGCTGGTTTTGAATCTTCCATAGTGGTAGCGTCTGGAGTTCTGAGATTTCCATGCCCTCCCTGTTAAGGACTTGGGATGGTACGCAAACTGCCATGCTGGTGAGCAAAGAATGTCAGGTCTTGCTTTGTCTTGTCCTGTTAAAAGCCATGTCTGCAAGGACTCTCTCAAATGCAGGTTTTCTTTGAGCGGGGTTCTTGTGTGCCCAGAGTTGTGCTGCTGTGTGCATCCACTACTATTGGTTTTTTGATGCATCTTGTTGTTCGTTTATTTTACTCTTATTATAAATGCACATAGGGGTTTAGCAACAGTCATAAGTGATGAATCAAATAACCCCAATTCCTTTAAATCCTCAAAAGCTAACACATAGGGCATGGTAATTTCAGGAGCATACTGAGCACTTGATGCCATGACATTATTGTGAAACTTCTTCACAGTCAGGTGGCTTCATCAGCTAATCAGAGCTCTGGATTTTTAAATGTCATTTTATAATGTCTAATTAAGGTATCAGTTTGAAGGCATGTTATTTTAATTGAAAAGTGTAAGAGTAATTATTCAGTTTTTCCTGTTAAATTAATAGTACAGACCTTTAACAGATGGGTAATAAGATATTGTTATTAATGAAAACATCTTGCATTTGAAACCCACCTACTTGTCTTGTTGAAACGTACATCTCCAAAACCAAATACATTTCCCCTTAAATGGCTTTATTTTAACCTGGAGCCAGCTAGTGGTTCCAGGAGGCTGTTAAGCCTTTTTTGGAAGATTTAAACTTTGCGATGCTTGGGAATGTATTTTCTGCTGGGCTTGACTTAGTAAGTGACTTGGCAGCAGTTAATAGATGAGTAGATTGTTTGATTTGTCTCTAGTAAAATGAGGGGGGAAAAGGAAAATGAATAAAGAACATTTTGGGAAGAGAAAGAGATACAGTACTTTTTTGATCTATTAGAATAATAATAACAACTATGATTTAAGCTATTATGTGTTTGTATCTTGAAAATATATGAAAACTAAGATTACAGAAGTTTCCCCCTCTGTTGGCTGGCTGATGCTTCTAGATAAGCATCTCTCAGACACTTTGATACCATATTTCTCTCAAGGGCTTGCATTTTCTTTTCTGTGATACTTGTTTCTTCTCCCTGCAGAGAGTTATGGTAGACCATGCTGGTTTTCATTTCTTGTTCTGAAGAGGCCTTCATAAATGGCTTTTTAAAAAATGAAACTTTGGAAAAGCCTAGCCCAGAGCCTGGCTTGGTGACTACTCCTACTTCCCATGGTGGAAGGCCTGCTTCTCTCTGCAAGTGGGCTTTCTGCTTTGGAAGGGGCTACATAGCCTGTAGGGTCAGTGTCAGAAGAGAAGACTCCAGGCCTGTCAATCCTACACCTCTTGATAGTACCAAATACGTTAGAAATGACCCTGTGCACTGACACTAGACTTCAGCAGCAGCAGCAGCCCTGCTGGTAGGTTATCAACTACCAGTTTCCAACAGTTCTCTAATTTTTTGTGGAGGTAAAACTTCCATTAACTCCTGGAAGATGATGTTTATGAGTTGGAATTTAGCAGAGATTTTATGTTTTATAATTATCATGCCAACCCCACCCCTCCCGGGGGTTAAGGAAAGTGGAGCTAATGTAAGTCTGACACAGGGAATAAAGACAGATAACAGAGCTCTTGTAAACTCTACATTCAGACCAATCAGTGCTGCTTGCTGTTCCAGAGAGTGGAGCGAGTCTCAGTACAGCAGTGACTGTAAATGATTCAATTAGAATTAGCTTCAGATATTGATAATAAAATCTAGCTTCCAACTAATTAGATAGAACATTAGTTGGTGTACCCTTACTCAATTAGAAAAATACATTTTAAATTAAGTTTTAATTTATTTTTGTCTTTAATCTAGTCACAATGGGGAAGGTGATTCAGTAATTTGAATGCTGACTTTCAGATACCTTGCATTACAGAATTAAATGAAATGGCCAACTACAACATTTATAAGCACAATTAAAATGGATCCAACATTAGTATAAGCAGTTTTATGCAAAATAGCAGCACCTCAGATCTTTGAAACTTGGTTTTAATAAGTAAATATCTTGGCTTTGGATATTTAAGGAGAAAAGAAAAGTAGGGATGATGTGTCCCTCTACTGCTCAGTAGAAGGAGAGAGAGAGAGAGGCAGTTTATTGTTTGACAGCTGTTTTCTATAAGTTGTGAAATGATGGCAACACTGATGCATGATTGGGAATTTTATTACTGCCAACCAGGATCTCTCTCATATTAATCTTTTTTAATGTGTCACCCCCCCCAAATCACACACACATTTTGTACCATTTGTTAGAAGTTACCTACTAAGGAAAACAGCCTTTCTTTGTTCTCTTTGCAAATGCAGGTTTTGCACCCTGTTTTCTGAGCTGAAGGATCTTAACTGTTTTGAAAAAAACAAAATTAGTTGTAAAATGTTGCTGTTAGTGTTTAAATCTGAAGCAGCATTACAGAAAATCTGTATTGCTAATGGTAGATAGTCTGAAGTCCAAAGCTCAGTTCTCTGCCTTCTGAATTTCCATCAGCTTTGTTGGAGAACATGTGATTTATAGAGACCCTTGTGTAATTTAGAAATGAGTGAGCTGTGTGCCTGAGTTCCACTATCTGATTTGTTGGGGTGGTTGTGAATCAAGAGAGGAAACATTTTAGCTCAAATAGAAAAGCAGTGTGGAAACCTCCTTTCTTTTGTGATGTCGCAGGGGAGTAGTTAGAATGAAAATTACTTATGCCATTTACTGTGGTTGTGAAAGCAAGGAAAAGCAATCACCAATTCCCAAATTAGAGCCTGGAGAATCAATGAAAAATAATCTAAAAATGTATGCAAAATGTTTGGTTACTTTGCTTTATCCCAAAATTCCAGGAGCCTGATTAATGACCTAAGAAAAGACAGGGAACTCTTTATCTGTAAAATGCCAACCAGGATAACCCCAGTGAATTCCAGAAGCAGGTGGCAAGTTTGTCCTTGTAGTTTAAGGTGATTAGGATACCTGACACCTCACTGTGGTTGCCACTGGCAGGAATTTCCATGTTTCCTCCATTTCTGAGTGCAGTTGGGTCATTGCCAGGTAATTAAAAAAAACTCCAAACAATGACACATTTGGTTTAAAAAGTCTTGTAGATATTTGCCCAGTCATACCTATCTAGAAGTACCCTTAGTCATATACACAGGCATATCTTATTGATTCCCTTCCCATCCATGGAGGGGAGGAACTGTATCAAGGGACCCAGGTGGTGAGAGCCAAGGTTTGGGATTCTTGGAAAGAGTAGATTCCCACACTGGTGAGGTGTCAGCAATTCAGCATATAGCTCCAGCAGGCAGAGTTCATATGAAAGGAGGCCAGGTCCAGCCTGCCCCCATACTGGTTTTTCCTAAGGTTTTTTTTAAGGACAACGCTTCTTTTCCAGGCACTAAGAGGTATTGTGCTTTAAATACAAATACAGCTGTGATATTATTGTAGTGGGCTCCTCACCCAACGATGGTTAAGGGCCTGTTAGTGATTCTTTTGTGAGCCTCTTTTTATAACTTGGCCATAAAAATTGCCTCCAGAACTGAAGCTTGGTAAGCAAGAACTTAAAAAGGTCCCCCTTCCCTCCAAAAATTGGGGTCCAACATGCAGTGAAGGAGGGCTAGGGGTACCCGCTAGTCTAGGCCCCTCATGCCTTAGGCTAGCCAGGGCCTGCAGCCACCAGGGTGCGGTTCATGAGCCTGGTGTCTTCTGCTGTGTCCCCAAGGTAATGCTGACGTACAGAGGTAACAAGGCAGTTTTTGTCACATCTTTAGTGTGAATCAGTTTCTTGAAAATGGGGGTGAGAAGGTGCACATTTTTGCTGAGAAGAGTGCTTAAGTTCAGGGCTACACACCTGATTTTAAGTGTTTAATTAGTTATATTAAGCAGGTGAAATTAATTCTGTTCTATGGAGAAATACTCCCTCACAGTCACCAGAGGAGCTAGCAGAGCAGAAACAGCTTGTAGTTTAAAATAACCAGCTAGAATTTGTACTTTAGTGGAAAAACTTTGTTATTATCTTGTCTTCTGATGGAGCAAACCTTTGCTGTGTGGTTGGTATTGTGAGATATGATTGCTCTGTGCTCATCAGTGATTTCTGATGGGCTTAAGAGGAGTCTGGTAAGCCTGCCCACTTCTTATGGAAGTACAAGCTTTAGCAGGTAGGTAGGTTTAGTTGCTCTTTGGGATATAGGGCAGCCCCCAGAAAAAGATAGGCCAATACTGACTGTGGTTTTCACAGTCACCTAGTCACAGACCTAGGCCTGAGGTATGTGGTCACCTAAAGTGCTGTATGTATCCTTGGAGTGCAGCTGGACAGCTTGGTAAATTGGCTGGGCTGCATATGGGAAAGCTTCAGGTATATCATTGGGTTGAGACAAGCAGGGGCCCATGGAAGTTTAATATTTACATGTTAATCTAGAAGCCTTTCCAACTGTATATAGACTGGCAGCCTTTCAGCAAATTCTTTGAACCATTGTCCCAAATCTAATAAATACTGCTTCAAGGCAGTAAGGTTTCCTTAGGCTGCTTTGATCATGGCCACCTGTATGCCTTATTTGGACTGTTCAAAGACACTGTAGAAATGGAGTGTGACAGCCTAAACTTTGGGCTATTCTATAGGGCACGTTTACATTCCTGTAGGAGTGCTGGGAAGATTAATTAGTTCCATGCAGCACTTCAAACACACAAAGTGCCATATCAGGATTCAGTATGCAGTGGTGCAGATTTTTTTTCCAAGTTCGTTAACGTATTTCTGTTAATCTGATATTAAATGGAAACCACACAGATGAATGTGGTTACTCAGTTACACCCTAGTTTCATGTTTCATTCAGAAGATCATAAACTTCTTCAGATCTGTTAAAGGTTTGTTGACTCCTTTATAAGAGAGGACAAACTGGCTGAATTGAAATTGTTAGGGAATCAATTTCCAATTTCCCTGGAGGGTATAAAGCACTTTCATAAGCATGAGTTTGTTGGTTAATCCTTGGAGGTTAATATTAGCCTTTGAGATGTAACACAAAGATTTTTTTCTGTTAAGACAGGGGCATCAGACTCATCTGACCCAAATGGCTTGTGGTTGGCCCCAAGGGCTGAATGAATGGGGCACAGTCAGCCCTGTCCTCACATGCTGGATCCAGTGCACATGGCACTTGCTCTGGCTGATCTGGGACTGCGTTGCATGCAGAGCCCACTTTGGGCAATTTATATGGCGCTATCACCAGAGCAGCTGGGAGGGGGCACCACATGCAGCATGGGGCTGGGACTGCCTGGAACAGATGCTATGTGTGGCATGTGTCCCGGACCATGTGCATGGGGCCAGTCTGGTGTGCGTTGCATACAGCATGTGGGTCAACTCCAGACCCCAAAGCAGCACTAGGGGCCAGATGATGGAGTTGTATGGGCTGCATCCAGCCTACAGGCGTATCTTTCGTACCCCTGTTTTAAGAGAAATACGCTCACTGAAGAAAGTGACTCAGAATTAGGAGGGAATCTCTGATGCTTTTTGGCTGCCTGATTGGGGCTTCCTAGATGTAGTGTTTTCATGCCCGTAGGAGAACTTGCACAGACCATTCCTTTGGCTCAGAGACTCCATCACAATTGGTGGACTTGCATTAGGGATGGCATTGTCCTGAAGCTCCTGGGTGAAACTTACCTAGTGCAGAGCTGGCTGAAAAGGCCCGTGTCCTCGCCTCACTCTCACTGGACACAGTCCAGCTCAGTGTTCTGATTTGTCTGTTTGCCAGCTGGGTAATTCAGCCTGGCCAGTTCTTGTGTGCTTTTGCCACTAAGGACTCCCCTCCCCTCCCCTGCCACCTGCCTCCTGGCTGTTCAACGCACATAGCTTGCCTCACCCTTCACAGCTTTCCTGTCATGAATTACTGAAACATTAGCAATCATAGCATCCTCACTGCTACTGAGCCATGCTTGCCCTACACAGAGTGTATTGGGGAATCGCTCACCTTCTGTGCCTTTGCCTTCATGGAGGACAGTTGTATTTCACGTCAGGGTATATCTTTTTTATAGGTAAACACATTATATCATTTTAACAACATGAGGATTTTCCAGCTCTCACTTCTCTTTGAATACCTAGAGTTCAGGCATTTTATTGCTCCCAGAGTAAAGGTGCTCTCTGTGCAGACTCAGCAAGAGAAGTACCTATAAATAACAGGTCAGCCCATGATTGTGATGTCAAAGTTACATATTTTGATATGAATACTGGAAAACTGGAAATACATGAAAGTTGAATAGTGGTAGAAACAGCAGAGCTTAACGAGACAGTAGTGATCTAACCTCCATGCTTTTCTATCTTTTCACACTTTGCACTGCAAGCATCAGATTTTGTCTTCTGGTAGAATTTGTCTGAAAGAAGATCCTTTTTGTCCTCCCTTCTGTTGTGGTCAGTAACTAATTAGCTCTTGTGGAAAGGTAAAACTGAGGGCAGGTCTACGCTGGAATCTTACTCTGTCCTACACTTCTTTTTTGAATGTTTCTGAATTTGTGCTCTGGCTCTTAGGGGCAGTAATTTTCTAATGCCCACTTCTTGCAAGCCAAGGTTTTGCAAGTGGGTGAGTGAGTTGCTGACCCTCTCTGGAGGAAGAGGGACCCCCATACATATGCAGGTGGCAGGGCACCCTGAGACTCTTCAGCCTGCTATTTTATGATATGGGGAGTGTTCATGGCATAGAGGCAGTGCACAGTGGATGCATCTATACGAGACGCTTAATGTACAGTAGACTAATTCTACTGCACATTAGCACATCATGACAAAAGCCGTGCTAATGCGCAGTCGAATTAGATTACTGCTCATTAAGCACTATGAAAAAGACCATGCACTTAGTTAGTACCTCATCTTAGAGGTACTAAACTTAATGCGCACTAACAACGTTGCATTAATGTATGTGTAGATGCACCCACTGTGTATTTGATTTGAGCCCACTCCTTACTGATGTATTTGCTTGGTTTAGTGGGAATATCCATCATCAAGGGCAATGAGGGAGTGAGGTTGAAATATTCAAAGGCTTAGTCTGAGAAGATGCTGCTGTTTAAACTAGGGAAATATAGAGATGAGCTCTTTCTCCTCCCAAAAGTCAGGAGATCTAGCCCTATACCTCTCCGAGCACTTGCAGCACTGTGTATTGTGTCTGAAACAGCTCCAAGTATCTTATGCTGGGTGACTGCTGCAATACTGTAGAACAGCAGGGTGGACTGAAGGGGGTTCGTCTTTCACTTTAAATGCCCTGGCTTTTCAGCAGTAGGGGCCATGTTAAACAAGGTCTGTACGGTTGAAGACATACATGGAAACTGTTCCTGTGTTTTATACGGCCATGGATACCATTGCTCATAGCAGGGCCTCTCATGAAGCTGTTCAAAGAGTCATGGAACTTGGGAGTGGTCCTGAACGACTGGAAAGGGCTAACATGGTGCCCATCTGTAAGAAAGGGAAGAGGGATGACCCTGCAAACTATAGGCCAGTCAGTCTGACTTTGGTCCTGGGAAAAATCTTTGAAAAAATTGTTAAGGAGGCCATCAATTACAAGCTTGTAACTGGTGGAGTATTAAGAAGCAACCAGCATGGCTTTGTCGAAGGTAGGTCTTGCCTAATAAATCTGGTGTCCTTTTATGACCAGGTAACTGACCGGTTGGACAAGGGGCATGAGATTGACATAAGTTACTTAGACTTCAGCAAGGCCTTTGATTCTGTTTCCCACGAGATTCTCTCAATTAAACTGGAGGGTACTGGCCTAGACCAGTCTACAGTGAGGTGGGTTGGCAACTGCTCAGAGGCCGATCTCAGAGCTGTAATCGATGGGATGGCCTCATCCTGGAGGGCCGTCTCCAGTGGTGTCCCCCAGCGATCAGTGCTTGGGCCTGTGCTCTTTAACATCTTTATCAATGACTTGGATGAGGGGGTGGAAAGCGCAATGATCAAGTTTGTGGATGACACCAAGCTGTGGGGAAATGCGGGCACATGAGAGAATAGGGAAAGGATGCAGGAGGACGTTGACAGACTGGTCCTGTGGGCTGAACGCAATCAGATGAGGTTCAGTATGGAAATGTGCCAGGTCCTTCACCTGGGTAGGAAGAACCTTCACCATAACTATACAATGGGTGGTGGTCCACTGGCTGGCACTTCATCTAAAAGGGGCCTGGGGGTGACAATCGACCAGAAGATGAATATGAGCAACCGGTGCGATGAAGTTGCCAGCAGGGCAAATACAACTGTAGTGTGCATCAGCTGATGTGTTGCCAGTAGATCCAGAGAGGTGCTCCTCCCACTCTATTCGGCACTGATGAGGCCACAGCTGGAGTAGTGTGTCCAGTTTTGGGCACTGTACTTCAGGAAGGATGTGGATAAGCTTGAGAGGGTACAGAGAAGGGCCTCCCATATGATCAGGGGCCTGGAAGA